CTTGAATCCAGCCAATCAGCATGTTTTAATTGACCAGCTGATCATATAAGGACAACCTTTACCCAAGGGAGCTTAGTATCAAAGCTCTCATCCCTGATGATGCAAACTGCAACGTTTGCGAAACGTCGGCACATCGCTGATTCAAGACACTGCTCCATTCCGGAAGCTATACCTATAGATTGTATCAATGGCCGTGAAAGCCTCAAATCTAGTATTAGAAGCCTGCACGGAGAGGCTATCCTAGGGTCGGTAAACTTATTTTTCAAACTCAGGGAGTCCTTGCATGTTCAACTATGTTCTCTAGCATTTCTAAAACGGTGCCGCGACCACCATGTATAATAGTACCGAAATGCTTTCAACTCTTATAGAAATATCATACTAAGAATCATTGACAATTTCTTATTATCCAGTATTTTTAATACTGAAAATAAGTAATTATCAATGATTATTAGTATGATATTTCTATAAGGGAATTAAAAAATCCTTTTCCATCTTCTAACCAGACCATTCTACGACAAGCGTCATTAAGGTTAGTCAGAGATTGAATCTCAGGGGAGCGGTGCACTTGGACACGGTGCATTTGGACACAGCCAATCACAGCACCGTGTGATTAGAGACATTTGTAGGGTCCCTTGGAACAGCGACTTGTGATTGGACTGTGTCCAGTTGCCCCGTGTCTAACTGATATACACCCGAATCTTAGCCACCAAGAAGAACTTGGCTGAGACTTCCCGAAAATTTTTAGAGTTACATCTTTCTCTTGCAAGATCGTTGGAGCCTGAGCTGTGGTTGACACTTGATCAGGTTACTCACGAACAAGCTCTTCGCTCGGTTGAAGCAAGAACACAAAAACAAAAGAGCAAATATGATAAGATCAGTCCACAAACTCAAATGCCAGTTCTCACACGTACAGTGAAGAATCTTAGCAGTCAAGACCTATCGCCATCTGAAGTCGCTGTTCTAGCTAAGGGACACAATTTTGCTGTCACTCTCTCTAGTATCTCCAGAAGAAATTATCAGCCAAATTGAAACGGCTATCTTCCACCTTCCTTTAGAGGTAAGTAATGACATTAGAAGTCGAACGACCAATATCCTACGCAAAGCCAAATTTACCAAACAGAATATAAACAAAGAGGAACGCCGAGCACTCCAAGGTTTAAGACAAAACAACAAGATCCTAATTTTACCAGCAGACAAAAGGAACGCTACTGTAGTTATGAACAGGGAAGACTATTGCAGTAAAATCAATAGTATACTCTCAGACAAAAAATCTACAGGAAACTCAAACGCAATCCGACCTCCAGCATAAAGAAGAAAACGTTTTCCTTTCTGAAAAGTGCAGGTCTCCCTCTTCAAATTATCAAGTATTTAACCCCTCAAGATTCTTCAGCACCTAGATTCTATGGTGTTCCAAAAACCCACAAGGAATCAATGCCCTTACGTTCTATTAGTGGACTTATCTACCAGTTAGCCCTCTATCTCACCAAACCCCTCCAGAAACTTACTGGTCTCTATGATTCCCACATCAAGAACTCAACGGATTTCGTGAATAAGATCAGTGAAATCAAGACAATACCAATGATATCCTGGGGTGCGTTCAGGATGAAAATTTTTCACCCGGACGAGAGTGTCCGTGGGTAATATGGGTGTATATCAGTTGGACACGGGGCAATTGGACACAGTCCAATCACAAGTCGCTGTTCCAAGGGACCCTACAAATGTCTCTAATCATACGGTGCTGTGATTGGCTGTGTCCAAATGCACCGTGTCCAAGTGCACCGCTCCCGGGTAATATGACGTCACACGCTTGGATGTTTTTATCCTGAACGGGTAGAGCGCAACCTGTAGTGTGTACCAAGTATAGTAGAGTGCAGTGCAAGTGCAGGCCGAATTTACTATTTACGCGAAGTAGATAGTAATAATAAAATGGCATTATTAAATTATTCTGATTATGATTTAGTTGTAAGCGTTGATAATACTGTGATTCAAGATGAGAAAGGAAACGTATTACTTCAAAATAAAAAAGATATGTTTTATATATTATAGGTTAGTTTTTTTCTTTATTATTTTAGAGTAATGTGATTTTCAATTACAGATCACTCAGTGATTTCCGTAGATTATGCCGTAGCTGCTGAAATTTTTAATTGTTTAAAAATCACAAAAGACGTACTGGAAACAGCAGTATTACAAAATTCAATGTGCAATTCAGAATCATCGATGGCTGACGAAGAAAACAGCAACCCCTGGACAAAAAACGAAATCTTACAACTTTTGTCGCTTTACAAATCTCATAATCATTTCTTCAAAAGCACTACTATTAAAAACGATAAAGTATGATCCATGATAAGTGCACATTTAAAAAGCCACACTACTGAACAGTGCAAAAATAAATTCAAATATCTAAAACAAAAATATGTTGAGAAGAAAGATAATATGAGTACAAAAGCAGAAGTGGTGCCGCAAATATAAAATTTGAATATTTTGATAAAATGGACAAAATATTTGGGAGCGGTGCACTTGGACACGGTGCATTTGGACACAGCCAATCACAGCACCGTATGATTAGAGACATTTGTAGGGTCCCTTGGAACAGCGACTTGTGATTGGACTGTGTCCAATTGCCCCGTATCCAACTGATATACACCCAAATATTTAAAGACGATGCAAACATAGTGCCTATGAGCGTGGCTTCTTCTTCTAGAGATGATCAAAATTTTGATGATATTGAGGATATTATCAAATTAAATGAGTCTGATTCAACAGATGACAGTAATTCTACTGTAAAAGGTGATCTACATAAGAAATCCCTAAAAAGAAAAAGCATTGAAATGGAAAAAATATATGATAATTTTGAGAAAAGTTTGCAAGAAAGAAAAGAAGAGAGGAGATCAAAAGATCGGAGACACAGAGAATTGATGGAAAGACAAGATTATGCCTTACAGTTATTTGAAAAGATGACAGATTGCATTACGAACATTGCAAGCAAAAATTAGGTTTGTATATTATCATATATTTATTAATTACATTATTGACTTTACCAAGTACTATATTTGATTTAGTTGAATACATTTTCAAAAAGTTTACAAATATTGTCTCAGATTGCTGAAAAACATTACATTTTACCTTATAGTTGTTTTTCTTTTTTTTTCCAGGTGTAACAGGTTGACAAATTTGTCAAAGTTATTAGTGGCCAGATTGTATAGTATTGCTTGTTAGCGATGATCAATAAAATTGCATTGTTTTCCAGAAGAAACTCCGCATTCATTGGATGTTGACAGCTAGCAGCATCGAAAAATATCCACAATAATTTGCAGAATCCGACTATAAGAAGCTGAACTAAACCGCACCCATATCTACATTGTATATTAATATTCGATGTGCAATGTTATTTCTTTCGATTTACTTTGAGTTTTAAACATTGTGTTCAATGTAAGTAAAGAATAGATTTTTATTTTTGTTACAATTTGTTGATTTCTTGTTTGATTTTTATTCTAATTACAATATATATCTGTTCTAATACATTTCGAATTGTATTACTTAAGATATCTGTATTAGTTGTAAAAATTACTTTTAGTTTATAGTGGAAAAGTTAATATATAAGTAAATATATCTAATGATATTCTCTTGAAATGTTTGATAGAATTGGCTGTTACAGATTTTATGTTACTTATTTCTAAGAAATTAATTAAAAATTAATTTGTTTTGGCACAGAAAAAAATATTTTTATTTTTGCTTCGAAAAATACTGTTTTCATTTTTGTATGTGGGAAATACTTCATTTCTCACTTTCTGTTTATATTAATTATAACTAAAGTGAATATTTATGTAAAATACAAGATCTCTATATCTTAACTGTGAGCGTGATATTATAGTGATATTATACTGTGATATATTGAGTATCATATGTATTTTATCTTAATGTAAGGCATACTTAGTAATATTAAAACAGAAGACTTATCCAAAGACTTATCCAAAATGGAGTGTAAAACTATTGTGTTCACTTGAGTAAAGGAATATTTTATTCAGTATTTTAAATTTTCTTTATTGATGTCAATGTAGCATTATATAAGAATTACAAATTGACATTAATAAAAAAAAACTTAATTTATATATTATATTTGTTATATTGCAAATAAACACTTATGTATTTGTTGCATCTTTCTTTATATTCATGTATGTGTGTAGCATGTAGTGAAATTATATAAAATATTTGTTTTTATTCATTATTAAAAAAAAATGTTGAATTCTTTTATTTATTAACATTTATGTGCAAAATGCTACAATCATAACAAATACAATTGATAAAATATAAATATATACATATATAAATAATATGTATATTTACTTCTTTAAAAGATGCTTTTAAAAATTCAGTGCTAGCATATCTCATAAAACCATCCCTTCGTGAGTAAGTTGTTCTGCAGAAGAATTTATTTCAATGTTTTCAACTGTGTCATTTATAACAAAGTCACGTCCTTCTTCTTCATATATATTCATTAAATCATCTTGATCCTTTAGGCATATGTTATGTAAAACACAACACGCTATTATTGTGGCCGGAATCAGGTCTATTCTGTTCATATCTAGATATTTCAGGCGACGAAATCGACCAAATAGTAATGCGAAAGACTTTCAATGACTTGGCGGGTTTTTGCATGAGCTGTATTAAAATTCTTTTGCCGTCTTGTTAAACGACCTCGATCTATGTAAGGTGATATACACCATTTTTTATTTGGATAAGCTTTATCGCCAAAATTATTTTCTCCAAAATATGCATTTGGATTATTAATAAACTCTGCATAAATAATAGAATTTTTTAAAATTCGCACGTCAGAGACAGAACTGGGATAACCAGTAAAACAATCTGTGAACTTCATTTGATCATCACAAATACCTTGCAACGTAATACCGTGAAAACATTTTCTATTAATATTAATATTTTCTATTAATGCTTCAGCATCTTTTTTTGGTGCTTTTATAGGAACATAAGTTCCATCGATGGCACTTACAACTCCTCTGATCCCAGCCGATTTAGAAAATCCCTTTTCAACTTTTATAGCTTCTTCTCCCTTTGGCCAAACTATCATTTTAGGAGCAATTTTATTGAGAGCTTTTATTACTCTGACAAAACAAACAAAGAGGCTTGCCCATATCAAATCTTGAACCAATAGATCTAAAATAAAAATTGTTTATTAACTATACTGTACATGAACTTTCGAGTTATTAATTAATATCAATTATATCATTTATTAATTAATATCAGTTATTATTAATATCAATTATAAAAACTTGCACTTAATCAATATATTGAAAAATTATTAAAAGTCGACTTATATTTTTCGGACAGATACTAAGCATATCCGTTTCAACAAATATTAATTAATGCGTTTTAAATGTAACTATTTATACTACCAATAATGTTGATACTATCTGTAATATATCAATGTTATGATAATATCTATATTATTGATATCAATAGTTCCATTTAAAATGTATTAATATTTGTCTGATCAGAAATAATACAGGTACCATGTCTGTCTGGATATTAATCGATCTTTATGCATAAACCAGACATGAATTTATTATTATTATTTAATTATATACGATAATATTGTACAATAAATTAAATTATTACTAACTAATAAAATAAATTATAAATTATTACTAACCTATCCTATACTAACTTATAACTATCAGGAGTGGCTAGTATCCAAAGAACAGCAAGAATTTGCTTCTGTGTATCTATTGTTCGTCGACCACTAGAACTTTGCAAGTGTGGTGAGATCGTAACATATAAGTACTCAAATGTCTGTCTTGTTATTCTAAAATGTGATTGAAATTCCTTTGCAGTACTATTTAACATTGTATGCTCAATAAAATATTTTATTTGAGATGGAACTTTTTTTTGGAATTTATTCGGTTTGACAATATCTGAATGTATTAATTCCATTAGCTCCTCTTCTTCAGAATATTTATCATCAGATTCGACATCCATGAAGAAAAACGTTTCATACAACATAATAGCACTTTCTGCTATACAATATTGCATTATACTTTTTACCAATTCAACTAAAAATCTATCACAAAGATAAATTAATAGAATTGTTATGCTGTTCGTATTTTGAATAATTCTTATTAATATAAGATTCATACTTGCATTTACTACTTCCTTTTTATATTAATATATTATCATTATACAGATTAAATATAAATAAAAAATGTATAATCATTTAAAAAATCTAACCCTTGTTTTTCTTCTTTTATATAGTGGCACTGTCCTGATTCTTCGTCCTCCTCGTCTTACTAAATAAATCATCTTAATAATAAATATAATAACCTTATATCACTTATGACAAATCTGTCATGTGAGCTTATAGCGCGCGTAGCTATAGCTAGTTTCTTCTGCGCATGTCGGGCGAAATTCGCCGCAGTCTCGAGTGCGGCGAAAAGTTGTCGTCCGGACGATTCTTCAAACCCAACCTGAACGACGCTAGATCAACGTCTGGACAAAACGCCCGATGAAACTGAACGCTTCTGGGTAAAAAGTTGTCGTCCGGACGTTCATCCTGAACGCACCTCTGGTGAGTTTCGATGTGGTCTCATTGTTTACTAATGTTCCAGTCTAGGATACTTTGAACATCATTAAGAATTCCGAGGAAATTCCTGCCAACCTCTTCCCACTAATAGAACATTGCTTAACTTCAACTTATTTTCAATTCCAAAGAGAGTTTTTCGAACAAACCTCTGGAGCGGCAATGGGATCTCCTATCATTGCAAACATCTTTATGGAACATTTTGAGAATGAAGTTTGAAAAGCGCACATCTGAAACCATCTACATGATTTCGGTATGTTGACGATACCTTTGTGATTTGGAATCATGGTAGGGAAACTCTTTCTCATAGCGAATTCGGTTGCTTGCACTAGTGTGCACTGACAAGTAACGCTACCCAAGTGTCATACGCCGATTTTCCTGAGACTGTGCATACGTGTAGTACATTGAAAAATATCTGACACGTATTTTTTTATATCTGCCCAAAAGCAGTTTTAAGGGTAGAAAACGCCCTTATGAATATATAGGGGTGAATTCCAGTATTTCACGAAGTACTCGTACGTTTGTTACAGAATGGGGTATACGGTGATTTTCAAAGTTGCTGAATCTAAATCTGCTCCCAATTTTTGAGAATTCAATATGGTGGAACCAATATGGCGGATCTGATTTTTTTAAAAAGAAGACAGCAAGACATTGTCGCTCTCTGCCAAACCCGGGAATAACCAACGTGGAGGTGGCGACAAACTATTCCCTTTTTTTT